AGAAAGTAAAAATGTAAAAATTGTAAAAAAAAAAAAAAAAACCGGGAGTGATCTCCCCTAAACTTTCTCGAATATTCTTATATAAAACAACAGGGATGGGAACTCGGGCGACATGATTTTTAATCCATTTTAAATACTTAAAGTTTTAAAAATAGAATAAAATCTCGTAGACAAAAGAATTGCACATCAAGTGAATGCTAAATTAAAAAAGTGCATAATAGTGCGCAATATTATTAGTACTTTAAAAATTTACATTAGTTTTTTGAGAAATCGGAAGTAGCGTTAATTACTACTTCCGGTCAATGGAAATTACTCAAAATTTAACAGAAGGTAGAGAATTAGATCGTTTACTTACAAGTGAAATTTCATTTATCTATCTGAAATAGTACTCAAGTTATAGGCTTTTGAAAAATTCAAAGTAGAAAAAGTACCACTTCCGGTTATCGGAAATCGCTCAAAAGTTGATACGGATCTACGATTTTGATAAAATACTTATATATGAAATTTCATCAACCTAGCTGTAACGGTACTCAAGTTATCGTGTTTACACACGGACAGACACACACACACACAGACATACGGACAGAATTGCAAAGCCCAGTGTTTCAGACTGGATTACGCATAAAACCTCTTAATTTTGATAAATCTGGATTGATAATTTTTGCCCGATTAAAATAAGTCCTCTATACTTCGGATGTGATGAAGGACTGAGGTGTAATACGGTGAAAATTGTTAAAATTTCAAGTGATTTTTGTGCACGATTACAATACTTTCTCTATACTTCGTATATACGAGAAAGTAAAAAAAGAATGTTTTAAACCACCCAACTAATTTTCTTGTCATTATTGATCCCTGGTCCGCACTATGTTGATTTAGGGAACGTCGGCTTTATATAAACAATATCTGGGCAGGAGGTTTTAGCTTGTGTTTATACTTAAGTTTGATATTTCGAAAGAAAAAGGTAATGAGCTGTTGATGAAAACATTAAAACATTGGTTTATATAAAAACAAACAATCACGCTATAAAATGAAATTAACTATGATTTGCACAAGGCAAATTGTTTTGCCCCCCCCCCCCCCCCCAGCCCTAAACATCCGGGGCCTCTGGCTGCAGCCCTCTCAGCCCCCGCCCCCTAAATCTGCTGCTGAACTACAGTATTAAAACATTTGATCTTTTTTTCATGCCAATTTTAATGCTGGTTTAGGTAAGCTATTAAACCATAATTAAAAAGAAAGATATATGCCTATTTTGTGTTCATTAAATGATTAAATAATAAAACAACTTTAATGTAAATTAACTGCATTTTTCTATATTTTAATTATCTTTTATAGTTTATTTTTATTACATTACGAAGTTAATAAAGCTAGATTCTCAATGAATTTTTTTCTGTAGATTGCTAAAACCTCAATTATTTGAGATAAATTTAAAGGTATATTAAATTTAACTATACTGAATTTAAAAAAGAATTATAATTCAAATTATCGTAGTTTATTTTTTCTTGTAATAACGTAATTTTAAATATTATCGTAAAAAAAAAAAAAAAAAAAAATTAAAAAAAGGGAGGTAAACAGAAAAAGTCTAAACAATAGCATAAAAACTGGATTACATACCTTAGACCACACGTGTAGAAAAATTGTTTCCTCTTTTGAGTTTTCATTGTAGTCTCCCTTAGACCACATGTTTTAAAAAATATTTTAAATAATTTCTAAAACATTTTTATTTTAAAGTAAAATAGAAAAAAAAAGTTTTTGAAACTTTATGTCTATAATACAATTAAACATTTAAATTGATTTATGGCAGACATATGAAAAAACTCACCGATATATTTTTTTTGTCTAATAACCCATTCCATTCATGTATCATTCAATTTATGTATTATTACTATATATGTGCTCTTATACATTTTTTTTTGGATTTAGCTGTTAGCCAGACAAGCTACGGTTTAGGCCAAACGCTGTATTGATGGTTGATGGTTAAAAAAAAAGCATGAGTGCATTTTTTAAAAAAAAATAATTATCTCAATTAATTTATTTTTAAAATTTCATTCTTCTTAGGAACTTTATCACAACAACATCTGGAGCTACACTTGACTTGAGATCAATAACTCTTCATCCATATTGAAAAGAGACTCCTTCGTGTGCAGTGTTTCTTCCAGACTTTTTTTCTCCGAGGGGGGGGGGGGGGGCACTTGAAATTGCCGGGGGGGGGGGGCGGTAGACTTTGTTTGGGGGGGTGGGGGTGGGCGGACAGACACTGTTAAAAGTATATATTTTCTATATAAATTATATAAATTTCATTTCTTTGGGGGGGGGGGGGGGGGTAGACATTTTCCGCCCCCCCCCCTCCGGAAGAGATGATTGGAAGAAACTCTGTTCGTGTGTTTGAGACACCTTAGGGATAAAGTCTATGGGCACAAAAATGAAAGACAGAGAATCAAGAACTTTGTAGTGTTGCAATCCCTGCTTCTATATGAGTGGACTCGAGGAAAAACAGGCTGTCTATTCCACGATCAATGAGATAGATCTACGATGGGTGGCCGAATAGAGGCGACAGGTGTATGAAAAAAATGAATTTAACAGTTAACCTAAATGTCAGCATAACTTGATTAACTTGATCAGTAAACCTGAATGTCAACATAGCTTGATTGAGTTGATCAGTTAACCAAAATGATTGACGAATATTATGGTCCGGATGGTTTGATTAGTGACTAAAAATATCCTGATCGATTAATTAATGACTCCAGTGTGGTCGGGTTGGCAAAGCTCATGGTTGTTAAACAGTAAGTCTCGAGTTCGATCTCTGCTGGTAAGTGATGCAAAGGATAGCAATTAACATCTAGGAGAGTAAACTACAAAATCAAACAACCGATGCTAACACGGCATCACTGGGCGATTGGCCTTCTAGTAAAGTTCACCGGCCAGGCTGCAAGAATTCCTAGATGAACTTCAACGGCCATGTGTTCGTGACCAAGACGAGCCAATAGATCGAAGCATCCGGCTGTGGTCGAACATGTACCCCTAGACACACCACTCAAAGCTGTGATGCCCCAAACGATCCACAAGGGTTAAATGTTTTATCTATTATATTTATCTACTTTTGTTTTAAAACACTAATACAATAATTTTACTTGAAGCTTGATCGAACATATTGTACCTATTGTGAACTTGACAACTATGGTTGAATGTAAAATGCTTGGTTGGAAAACTAAACCTAGCAATATATTTCTTTTTAAAACATCAAAATAGTTACAATTCCAATTAATATCAGTGATGTTTTTTTAATTTTCTGATCATTCAACATTTTCTCCTGGTCATTAACCTTTTAAATCTTATCGTCCAGAGAAAAAAAAATTCCGATAAAATGGAATCCAGTTTACTAGTGTCGTCTTCAAGGTATCCATGCATTAGTTTTTATTCAATATCTGTCGCTCTTGTCAAGGTATAAGGACAGTGTGGTCTAGCGCTAGACTACTAACTCGAAAGCCTCGAGTTCGGATCCCGGGCTCGAGTCTGTAGTGCGTCCCTAAGTTCACCCAGCTCTAGTGAGTACCTGACTTTCGTTAGAGAGACAAAAGTGGCTGGGTATAATGCATGACCACTCTATGTCAGAGGTCATGAAAATAGATGAACTCTACTTCATCTGCTCTATGTGGCTTGGTCACGAAAAGATGATCAGCTGATGTTAAGGTGTCGTTTAGTATGGTCTATGAGAAAAAATATTTTCTTGAATGGGTGAACTAGATATGTGTTGAATCTAGTTACATCTTTATATATTGAGTAATTTAAATAGGCATACATTAGTTGACAAAATTCCTTCCATAATAATTGTTGACATGGATAGAAAAACTTAAGCCTAAGAGAATTTTCAGAATTTTTAATATTTTAATAATCAATGTTATAAAAGTGCAAATGTTGATAATTTGAAAATAATTTAACTTTTAAGGTTACGTTTCTATTTAGTTTCATCAAGCTTAAATTATAAACTGAAGTTTCACTTTCATAGGAACAACATTGATTTGCTGTACAGATACTCTTTGACTATCTTTTAAAAACCACATTTCGTTGTATTTTGTCTTCAAAGCTTTACCGATTTAATATTTAAATAAATTGTATTTTTTAAAAACCAAATGACCTAGTAATGCCGTTTTTTTTTGCATTTTTAGTATTACAATTTAAACTTTTGTTTAGGCTTTTAAAATTTTTGTTTAGTTACCAAAAATACTAAAACGACAAATACATGAAATTGTTAGGAGTAACAAGTGACACAAACCTCTCAATAAAGTTTTCATAACCACATTGTTTTTAATAACACCGCACACAATTTTAAAAATATCTAAAGCGTCTTTCTAGAAACTTGACATTGTTGTTAGTTGCAGGAAAATACCTAAAGATAAGAGCATTCCAAATCAAGTTGTGCTTTATTATAGTATGACGGACCGTAGAGATTGTGGACATATATACATTTGATAGATGGTAAGTCGTTCTATATATATATATCAAGAGGTTTCAGAATTCAACGTGCAACAAAATTGATTTAATAGAGATTTAATTGCTAGTTATTTCTATGTTGCATTTCAAAAAGACTAAAAGCAAACATTTCGTGCATAAATTCTATCTGAATAAAACCAACAGCTGCATCGATTTTTTTTTTAAAAGAAAAAAAATGAAATCACAGATAGCAATGTCGTGTCATGTTCATACGACATGATTTATTCTAGTTTAAAACATGACTGACTTTTAAAACCTTATCTAGAAAAAAAAATATGATTAAAAAAAAAAAAATCGAAAAAAAAAAAAAACGTTTTGTCGACAGATTTTGTTTTATAATAGGAATAGATAGGTCGATGGCAGATGTGTTTCTTTAAATTTAAACCTGAAATATTGTCCAAAAAACATAACATGTTATTCTCAGCACTGTTTTAATTATACAAACAAACGACACAAACAATGATCTACAACTTTGTACAACTTTATTGACAATCGTAAATTATCTACAGATATCCGAATGTACGGACTCACGTGCAAGAGAGAAAGAACAGTACACTCGATGTAAAGTTAATTGAAGGCAACATTAGCGTCCGCCCCCATGTAGATGTTCCAGGTCAGTGAACAGGATCTCCCAGTACCTGGCGACACGGAAAGGCTTTAGTATGAACAGTTCAATAGGCTTGTTAGAGACTTGCTGAATCGTACTGTATGTACAAGCTATGTACAACATAGTGACTCTCATACCAGCTACACAGATTCTAGTGTACGTCAGCATGTCAACAAGTCTAATTCTTTCTCTCTATTCACCTCTCTCAATATATAGGTATATATATATATATATACCTATATATAAAAGTTATATATATATATATATATATATATATATATATATATATATATATATATATATATATATATATATAAGTAAATAAATAAATAAATAAAATAAAATAAAATAAAATAAAATAAAATAAAATAAAATAAAAAAAAATAAAATAAAATAAAATAAAAAAAAATAAAATAAAATAAAATAAAATAAAGTAAAGTAAAGTAAAGTAAAGTAAAGTAAAGTAAAGTAAAGTAAAATAAAATAAAATAAAATAAAATAAAATAAAATAAAATAAAATAAAATAAAATAAAATAAAATAAAATAAAATAAAATAAAATAAAATAAAATAAAATAAAATAAAATAAAATAAAATAAAATAAAATAAAATAAAATAAAATAAAATAAAATAAAATAAAATAAAATAAAATAAAATAAAATAAAATAAATAAAATAAAATAAAATAAAATAAAATAAAATAAAATAAAATAAAATAAAATAAAATAAAATAAAATAAAATAAAATAAAATAAAATAAAATTAAATTAAATTAAATTAAATTAAATTAAATTAAATAAAAAAAAAAAAATAAAATAAAATACGCAATAATTTATTATGATGTTAATAAGGCATCTAAAAATATTAAGTGACATTTGACCCCCCACCTGATAAATTCCGCTTCACTGACGATACCGTTGCCGTTGCCGTCTATCAGGCTGAAGAAGTTGACAAAGTCGTGCTCATCCAGATGGTGATCACCGTCCACGTCGTAGATGTCGTAGAGGGCGTGGGACAGGGGGCTGAGGGCGGGGACGTGGGTGTCCACGTAGCTGGTGTACTCGTGTCTGGTGATTCTGCCGTCGCCGTCGGTATCATAGCCCTGAGGAAGAAACGTGGAGGGCGTATTCGATGAATATATCAGTATCGATTTATTTTAAAGTGCCGGTGTCGTTATCGTTAGGTTGGTAAAGCTCATGGCTGCCTAACCGAAAAGTCACAATGTTTAACTCCCGGGTAGATGAGGCTCAAATGCTGAAAACAAACACTAAGAGAGAAACCTTAAAAATCAAAGAACTCCTCGCTCTTTTGTATTTTTGGTTTCTTGGATGGACAAAGGCAATGGAAGCAAATCAGAGAAGAAAGGTAGGATGAAATCGGAGTCAACCGGTCGATACGGCGTTGAGACGTTATAATTTGTGTACAATGAAATCCCGTCCAACTTTAAAATTAAGAATAGTTAATAACAGGGGATAATTGATTTGTACAAGCTTTTATATAACTTGCTTTCCTTGTCTAGATCATAACGCCCGAGCATAATTTCGGGCACTTCTAACTGACAGATACGGTTCGTGGATGGTACGTGGGTGAAAACATAAAGACAATACAACATGACATTAAATTTGACTTAATTGGTTGCCTGATTAATTTTTTATCAATTAATTAAAATTGTGTCCAAATTAGTATGTTGTCTCATCAAACTATTCCGCGCTATTAGTCACGCGTCACCACGTTCAATAGGTGAGCAATGGTTTTTAGTCATGCACATCCAGTGTAAATAAAACATGTAAAGTACTAAAAAAAAATTCATATAAAACGTTTTAATAACGATCTTTTATGTAATAATGCACTAGAAAGTAGAAAATAAATTGTACACTACTATTTAAATTACTATAAAGAAAAGCGTGGGTCTCCTCCGAAATATTAGTAAAGGTATCCAATAGATACTAAAATGACCCACGCTTTTTTAGTGAATTATTACATAAAAGCTTGTTATTAAAATGTTTTTTATGAAATTGTTTTACAAGCTTTTATTTAAATTGCTTTCTCTGTCTAGATCGAAACGGCCAAGTGAAATTTCGCGCAGATCCAGTTCAAAGTTGGCACGTGGGTCAAGACATGAAGACAATGCAATCTGACATTAAATTTGACTTAATTGGATTCGTAATGAATTTATTATGAATTAATTACATTTTTGTCTAAATTTGTAGACTGTCTCATCCATCTATACTGTATTATTATACACGCGTTATCACGTTCATTAGGTGCACCATGGTTTTTAGTCATGCAGCTCTATTGTAAATGATAATTTTAAAGTACTGAGAAATAATTTCATAAAAAGCAAGCGTTTATGTGATAATGCACTAAAAAAGTAGAAAATAAATTATACACTACTATTTAAATAACTATAAAGAAAAGCGTGGGTCATTTGAGTACCTATCGGATACCTTTACTAATATCTAGGAAGAGAACCACGCTTTTTTTAGTTATTTAAATAGTAGTGTATAATTTTTTTTCTACTTTTTAGTGCATTATAACATAAAAGCTTGTTATTAAAACGTTTTTTAAGAATTTTTTTTCCCAAAAGTTGTTAATGCGGTGGGTGGAGGGGAGGGGGGTAGTTCCGTGATGACGGATATTAATGCCTTGACATAGTACGCGTCCTGTCAGATGTTGAAAACTCACCATGAAACTGGCGTGCAGTTCAGCCTTATCCACGTTGTGGTCCATGTTTGTGTCCGTTTGCCGGAAAAGACTTGCGGCCGTCTCGTTATAGGGCTTTAAGTTGAGCTGAGCCAAGCTCAGGGCCGGTAGGCATAACAAAATTATGTAAACAATGGACATGTTGACTGAAAATATGGGTATATGAAATATGAAAAATTTTATATATATATATATATATATATATATATATATATATATATATATATATATATATATATATATATATATATATATATATATATATATATAGGCCTACATATATATATATATATATAGGCCTACATATATATATATATATATATATATATATATATATATATATATATATATATATATAATTGTGTGAGTATTGTATTTACCTTTATCTATAAACACAAACACGTAATAATAACTTATTGTTTACCTTCTAAATTATTTTACCAGACAAGTTTAAGAATATCAACAAAAAATCGTGTGTCGTAACTTTGCTAAATTTTAAAATGTTTATTTTGTTTCGGTTCTTTTATAGAAAAGCCGTCGACACTGAATGTCACATGATCGGCTACATGATCTTGCACAAAAGGACTGTCAGATAAACCAGGTATTTTTAAATGACTATCATTTAAAGTAATCAAATGACCTTCGCTGAAGTTTAAGAATTTTCATTTCGCTAGTGGACCTATTCTATAACCGGGTGTGGTGTATTAATTCTCGCATATATTAAGATGAATGGATGCCTTTACGAATACGGGTACTCTTTTGTCCCTAAGCTGATTTTTTGCTGTCAAAAAAATGTACGGTGATAAAATATTTTTTTTTTCCAATCAGTGTGCTAGATCAAAAATAAAAATAGAATGCAATGAGAACGTTTTAATAACCATCTTTTATTTAATACTGCACTGAGATTATGAATTAAATTATTTTCTGTAAATGTTGAATAATCAACAGTTGTTTAAATAACAAGAAAGAAAAGTTATTTAAATAGTAGTTTATTATTCAATATTTACAGAAAATAATTTATTTTCTACTTTTTAATGCATTATTAAAAAAATATTAAAGCACTTTTTATGCATGTTTTTTCAGTACTTTAAATTTTCTAATACAATGGGGTTTCATGACTAAAAACAATTGCGCACCCAATGAACATGAAAATGTGCGTACATAGCAGCGCCCCTACTTTATTTAGGAAATTTTAATTAATTCTTAAAAATTAATAAGGCAACCCATTTAAGTCAAATTTGATGTCAAAGTCCATTTTCATTGGATCTTGATACACATGCCAAGTTTTAAACGAATCGGTCAGTTAGAAGTGATCGAATTCTCGTTCGAGAGTTTCGATCCATGACGACAGACAGAAAGACAGATAGACAGACAGATGAAGCAAGTTAAGTAAAAAGCTTATAAAAAGACGTTTCTCAAGTTTACAAACCATAATATATAGAAATATTACATTATATAGAAAGTTTTTTGCTTGTTTAAAAAAAAAAGTATTTTAAGGAGCAGATAGTTAAGAAATGCCGCATTATTAAAGGTAGAAAAATAGAATAAAATCAACAACATTAAGCGAAAACATTGGATACCTTTAAGACACGGATGCAAAACGAGATGTTTGATAAAGAAGAAATATAATGTAAACAACGGTGTCTAATTTTACATGTATGAAATTTTCCCTCTGAATTATTCTGTCAAAGATCCAAAGTGGAACCCTCAGAATGGAGGCGAATGCTTTAGATTATGTTTTAATAATACATTTCAAAACTTCATTCTATTTTTTTCCAAATTTGGATATCTATAGCTTGGATGTAACATCCATCGAAGCTAAAGCGATGGGTTAAATACGTGAGGCGAAAATGTACATCTTATATTGGAGGTTAAAGGGAAGATACTCACAATTAATTGTCTGCCTGGCAATGCTGACACATTTGTGAATAACCATTATGACTGGAAAGATTGTTTTGGTATTTACTTTTTTAGCAGCTATTCTAGTCACAAAAGAAGTTAGAACAGGAATATAACAAACGTTTTTTTTAAAAATGTGTTGTTAGTTTATAGAACAGTAATGGGAGACAACTTATAATCGCGAAAACTAGTAAAGAGAGACAACTCGTGAAGGGAGACCACTTGTGATGGAAGAATACTTTTATTTATACATTTCTACTGTACTGGTAGTGTTTCTGTTTATGTAATTCTGAAAACATCCATCAGAAATTATGACGCTTTTTTGTTTACTTTTATTTAAATTGAGAATAATTAGTTTTTTTTTTAATTTAGGAAAGCCAAGGTTCCGTCGTGACCAGTACAAATTTCCGACCCTCTGCTTTCATCACACGCTCTGCTATAGTGACACGTCATCATAATGTATCTTTAGGTAACTGACTGGTAAAGATAACACAAACACGATGTTTCTAAAAAGATAAGACGAGATAGAGCTAGTGGAACAGACAAATGATAACAATTTAAAACTGCGTTACATTTTTGTTTTGGAAAACATCACGATCTCAGGAACAGCAACTACAATGAACCCTTTAAAAATGAAAAGCAAAACACTTTTAAAAATTTTGATTACATAATTCCTTAATTTTAAAATTTATGTAAGTTATATATATATATATTGACAAAAAGCATAACTAAATTTTGTTATTTTTTGCATTTTATTACACGATCAACTCACGATTATAAGATTGGAAACGTGGAGGAAAGCCACGTATTAAAAATAACCCAAATCAAACAACTTTCTAAATTGTGTATCTATTAAGCTAAAATCCAAATAGTTTAATAGTAATTATGACAACTTCACAATTACAATAAAATATTAATTATATTAATATTAAGAAAATAAAGCTAATCTGCTTTTTTCATGTACGTTTTGGTTGCTAAAAGATCTCATGAGAGACCAAAGCTTTTATGAAAGAAAGCAAGTTGGTTTTATTTCCATATTTCAGTGCATTTAAAAACTTGCAATTACATTTTTTTAAAAATATGTGTTTTATTTTCTTACTTTTCAGTAATTCATAAGACTACTTAGATTTAATTAAAACACCAGCAGCTCTCGATCTCTGAAAGCCGATTAGATGTCCTTTCACAACGTACGCGGCTTTTCTGGGGCCAGAAAGCAAATGCAATTCACCGAAGACAGCAAACGATGACTACTCCTTAATCTTGCTACCCCCACTCAGTTTCAAATCTTTCAAAAACTATTTTATCTCTCCCTAAAAGCATCTACTAACTTCACTTGGCTGAAAGAGTGTAAACCTTCATTTAGGATAACACTACAAATGAGACTAAAGATATTTGCGTAAAAACTCCTTCAGAAGCTTGTATCTCTAAGAGATAGTAAAAAGCCCCTACTTTAAGTCAACGCGACTCATGAAATCATCGAACCGTGGAGTAAGAGTTCACTCACGACGGTCCCCTGATCAATTGATGGCTGGCTGGTATTTTATTTTGTTATATCCGTTTAATTAGAATATAGTAGTTTTTATATCGAATTGTCTCTCTAGTTAAATAAAAAAAAAGAATAAGTATCTAGAAAGTTTGAACGAAATCAGCTTCATTAGGAATGGGTCAAAATTGATTAAAAATATTTGCCGCAAACCAACATACGGAGGTTGCGAACAAAACAAAACTTTGTATAGAGCATAAATATTATGACCTTTTATTGAATAAAAACACATTTTTTTATACATATATAATTAGTTTAATAAAAAACAATGTTACACCATTTTATTTTTACATATTATGTAAGAGATAATATGTAATTAGCTACACATTGCTAAAAAACGACAACAAAGTCAGCGTTCTTTAGCGTCCACCACCGTGAAGATGTTCGAGGTCAACAAAGAGAATCTCCCAGTATCTGCGGGGATTGGATGAAAATTGGAAATAATTATTTGAAGCACGATAGATTTTGGAAACACACTGTAAACATGTATTTTAGATTTATTCACGGCTATTGGATAAAGAGAATAAACGATTACTTAAATAAAGCTCTTAATGGATAGTATGCTTAATGTAAAAAATCATCATCTTTTCCCTTTTGTGCCCAAGACACATTAGACCAACGGCGTAGAGTTTATATGTTTTAATGACATGGGAATAAATGATAGTGTGAGTCAGGTACCCATCAGAGCTGAGCGGACTCAGAGGCATTCTACGGGCTTGAGTCCGGGATCAAAATTTCGAGACATTCGGGTTAGCAGTTTAACGCTCTATTTCCCGGCCACTCATTTCCAATATACTGCATGATTGGGACTAGATACACATTGTATTCACGTATTTAACATTCATTGTTATTGGGTAAAAAGTATAAGCAACAATATAAAACTCTTAAGATGTTGGATAGACAATGTAAACTGTTATTTAAAATGTTTGTTGACCAAAAATATTTCAATCTTTAAATTTCTTTTTTATAGAATTGGATTTTTTTTTTAAAAACTGAAAGGTAAAAACTCACTTGATAAATTCATCATCGCTGACGATTCCGTTGTTGTCGGTGTCCATTAAACCATAAAAGTTGTCGAAGTCGTGCTCGTCCAGATGGTGGTCACCGTCCACGTCGTAGATGTCGTAGAGGGCGTGGGACAGGGGGTGGAGGGCTGGGCTGTGGGCGTCCACGTAGGTGGTGTACTCGTGTCTGGTGATTCTGCCGTCGCCGTCGGTGTCGTAGGACTGATGGGAAATAAAATTATCAAGAAATAGTAAAAAAAAAGTTTTTCCCCACTTTCGGGATGGGAAACACAACTTCGTTCACGTTATTATGTACATTACCTATCAGAAATACACACACACACATAGACAAACACACACACACGCACGCACATACACACGCTCAAACGCACGGATATACGCAAGCACCCACAAACGCATTCTATTTTGCATCCCCTCCCACGGAAGTTACTTATTTAAACAAACACTCTGACCCAGTAGCGTACGCAGGGGGGGGGGGGGGGGGAGTAGGGGGAGCGGCCGCTCCCCCTCTGGCCATTTTCAGCAAAGTGGCGCCTTTTTGGAAACTTTTTAAACTCAAAGTTTTAAACAATGATATTTGTTAAAAAAATATTTTTGGTCGGCACATCTATGTAAATCACAAGATTTCTATTCATGCAGCAATTAAGCATTATTGTACTAGTCTAGTAGTGTCTACGTTTACAACACGTATTAACAGCTGCATCAGTTTGCCACTCTAAAAATAACCATTACGATGCATTGCAATGTTTAAAAAACCTCTACGGTAGTACCACTTGGCAAGAGGAGTGTTAAGTTTAAGGCAACTGTATAATGTATTTGCTTACGAATAATTGAATTAGAAAAAGTTATACATAAAACTTCACACATAATTACTTAATATATACAGTTTGAATCGTGTGATTAATTTTTTTAAAATTACAATACAGAAACAAATATAACTGATGTGGCACCTCTATTTAAATTTACTTATGAGCAAACTGCGTAGTTGTGTGGAAATTTTGACAAGGTCGACAACGTCATCACGATGAAGTAGTAGTATTCTTACAGTTTGGGCGATAGTGATTGCGATTACAAATTATATAAAACAGTTACAACCCCCTCCCCCATGGACCCCTTATACAAAAAATATTGTCATAATACCACTGCTACTTATTTAAATCTATTTCTGTAATATATATATTTGTGTAATATATATTTAATATATTTGTGTAATATATATGTTTGTTTAGAACAGTCATCTAAAAACTAACGCTATGTTCACTCTGAGTTGGTTATCTCCCCCCCCTACACACCTCACCACCACAATTGTGTAGAGCGACATTAATGTCACACCTAGGTATACACTGGGTTGGATAATTGACCTAAAGTGAACGGATATTTAGTTAAATGTAGGCTGTTATTCCGAATGTTGTTCTATTATATCGAAAAGCGTGTTTTTATACCAACTCTGATTTTAAAAACTTTCATTATGCTGTAATACTTTAGCATTTATGATGACGATATCTTAAATTCTGATTATAGACAAAAACATTTTGTAAACACGAATAGTGTTAAACAATTTCATTATATTCTAAAGTAATTATTTATTTGTTTTGACATTTATAATTAAATGTGTAGATATATACATATTTATATTAAGAGAGTGATTATTTCCCCTATATCACTTGTCTTAAATAATTTCCCAGGAATTATTATGTAAGAATTTTTTTTTACAAGAATTACAAAACAGATTGTGTTACGTTCATTGTTTTGGTTGTAGTGTATATATATATATATATATATATATATATATATATATATATATATATATATATATATATATATATATATGTTACCGAGTCTATTTACTTGCAGTGCCAAATGTTACCGAGTGTATTTACTCGTGCTATCTTTGACCAGCACACAACATCGACTACAATACAGATACTCGGAAGTGCAGGTTTACATTGATCTCTTTATTACATGAATCAATAGAAATGCTCCACATAACAATGCATCAATGTTCCACAAGAATACAATGAACCAACTGACCCCCACTGTCCTCACTAGTCCTCACATATCAGAATGCACGTGTCCATCGTTCCTATTTTCACAAATCACAACAGGTCTACACAGTTCAGTTTCCAACTCGGTTCTGCGCCTTATCGTCGTGCCGTCCTATTATATCCCACGTATTCGTAATAGTTCCCATTCGTTGCATCAGAACTATGAACTACGCAGCGGCTTTGTGTTCGTTATCAATCCACATCGTTGCGTCAGACTGTATTGCGTTCTTATCAATAGTCTCTAGTAACTACACTAGTTACATCCACCCCCGCCTTTTTTTGTGTGTTTTCAACCACAAACAACGCTTGGCGGTGCACTCCTCCAATGTCAAACGCAACACCGTAAAAAAAATTTACTGTTCCACTCACTGTCAATGTCGTCACATTCGTATAAGATTGACAGTTATCCCTATTTCAACATATCAAATGTGTCTACATCATATTCCTCAGACACAAAGCAGTTCTAGAATTCACTTCCACCCCCGCCTTTTTTCGTTTGGTGTCATCACCAGTTCACTTTTATAGCTTTTGAACAGTCTGTTCTCATCTCAGCGCGACCATGAAAGAATTGATGGTTGCTGACGAAAAATTTCGTATTCTTTCTGTTCCTCAAACTTCTCCGCGGACCACTTATCTGATGTTCTACTGTCTCTCTGCTTCTGTGAGGACCGGGATCCTCATTGTTGCAGTTATCCTCCACTTGTGTATAGCTGCTGTGCTGTTGATGGTGACATGGTTCCGGGATGGGTATGTGAATTTCCATGTGTTTCTGCCTAATGGGTGGCTACGCAGTAATACTTTGTCGTTCAGTTGGAGTGGCGGGTCTTTTGTCTGTACCCGCGGTTCTCTTCGCCGTGCTTCATGTTCTAGTCTTTCTTGTACCACCCTGTACATTTCTCTAATTCGTCTCATATGTTCATTCACATATTCCAGTGCGGTGTATGAGCCAGTCATGCTTTCCTTTTTTCCTAGGAACAAGTCAAGAGGGAGTCGAGCCTCCCGTCCGAACAGTAACATGTGTGGCGAAAAGCCGGTTGTGGCTAGTTACATATATATATATATATATATATATATATATATATATATATATATATATATATATATATATGTTTAGATTGATACAATTTTTGTTTTGTCGGCCTACATTGTGTGTTTTTTCTTATTTCTTCAGAGTGCTACTTTCAATTTATTTTACATCATAGCGAAGCAATGACATACAGCTAGTAATTATATATATATATATATATATATATATATATATATATATATATATATATATATATATATATATATATATATATATGTATATATATATATATATATACATATATATATATATATATATATATATATATATATATATATATATATATATATATATATATATATATATATATATATATATATATATATAATACACGTATATAGAACGTATTAAAAATTCGGCGCCTTTTTTATCTTTTCGCTCCCCCTACAACGAAAACCTGGATACGCCTCTGCTCTGACCACACCCCCAGACATTCTTATTAGGCTCTCCCTGCCGCGGCATTACGAAATTAACCCAACACCCCCTCCAAATATTAACATTAGAACACCCCCCCCCTCCACATACACACCCCATGACTCACCAGGAAACTGGCGTGAAGCTCAGTCTTGTCCACGTTGTTATTCATGTTCGTGTCGACCTGTAAGAAGAGCACGGCGGCCGTGACGTTATAGGGCTTCAAGTTCACGTTCTGGGCCATGGTCAAGGCCGGCAGGCAGATCAAAATAAGGTAGACGATCGACATTTTGCTCTGGAATAAAATACAATATATCTAGGTTTTATGTGCTAATCAACACAACGTTTGAAGTAGAATTTATTTTTGTTTGAGATTTTACTATGTGGTTTATAAATATAAACATTAAAAAATTGTATTTTGATATTGGAGAAAAAGAATACAGCACAAATAAAAACCGTTCTAATAATAAGATTTTAATGCATTGAAATTATAATATAAAATAAATTTTCTTTCTTTAATTTAATATGAGATCTTCTTACATTTTTTAAAAGTAATCAAGTGATATTTAATAACTATTTTTCAGTATTTAAAAGCTTGTTGTTAGAAAGGATTTTTGCTTTAGTTTCTTTTTTTTTTAAAAATCATTCATTCTGACTAAAGTTGACTCTGCAAATACAAACACAAATATTTACTATCAAGTTTGCTATGTCTAAAAGACAGTTGTCTTTCTCTTCATCGTCCGTGGTCGATGCTCATATCAACAATCACTTAGACGTGGGAAAAAACAGTTAACCATTGACTGACGATAGATCGCTAATATTTTATCTTGTTACCTCCCCTTTAGTTATCGACTCAGGTACTCTCTTAATTAAGTTTTAGTTACTAGTCTTATGTCAAGTTAGAGTAAAATTATATATTCTTGCATTGTCACGGATGGGAATGTTTATGGAAACAAATGAATTGCCCACAATAGGAAGACAAACAAACAGAAACAGAAAGACATTATGAGATTCTTAACTAATATTTTAAAAAATTTAAATTTTCAGCTGTTTTCTATATAGCAGCTGTGACTAAACCTTATAACGTTTTATATGGTTTTAAACCTAAAAAAATAACTGCCGTACAAAAATATTCAAGTTATACTCGTTAACTGTTAGAGAAATAATAAAAAACAACAAAAGTTTTACCTGTTCGTGTTAATCCGTTAAATTTATCGTTAGCATCGTTTCTTTTATACAAATCTGTCGTCACGTTATTTGCACGTGACCGTAAGATATGTGACGTAGAAACTAATTTTTTTGGGCACGATCTCCAAGAGATAGATAAACGGAACGTGTAGTCCAGACAAATGTGCAACACATAAAAAAAAAACCAAATTCATATATATATATATATATATATATATATATATATATATATATATATATATATATATATATATATATATATATATATATATATATATATATATATATATATATATATATGTCTGTGTGTGTGTGTGTGAGTTTCTGTTGTGAGTTTCCATAAGCTGACAACCTTTGCTTTTCTTCTTAAATAATTGTTTAGCCTTTTCATTAAAGAAAGAAGGTTGTCGGATACAGTTGTAGGCCATCATATCCTGCGATATTTGGAAACTGATAGTTTTTTTTAGTTGCTGCAGCTAGGATCTGTATGTACTTTACAAACACACATACACACAAAAAAACATACACAACTATATTTTCTCTCACACAGAAGATTTACGTCATTACTAAAGGGGATAACTGATAGATGGTTTAGTCATTCGTTCAGGACACTTTTCTAAACACCAGCTTATCAATGCACTGCTCGCAATGAAACAGTCCACTTTTGGTGAACTCGCGAGTTGGCCGGTCAATGTTCAAAATCAATAAAATTCCAACTACAGCCTGGTGAATGGAAGGTAATTCTGGTGCAACCTCATGGGCTATGACCATTACATACATCATCTATTGATTGTGCTTTGGAAATCCAAACATAGCCTCGGCCAGTAGTCGAGAGGGACCAGTCTCTGCCCATATTTCAGACTCTGTAGCTCACTTGACAGATCTTGTCTTTCTAAATGGAATAGCTCCACTGACCACACCTCCACATGCTCCATCTCCAACGTACCTAATGGACCCTAAGAAGAGGCTGTATCAATAAAAAAGTGGAAACCAATTGAAAATCTTAACGCGAAACAATAGCCGCGCTTGTTTCCCCATCAAACTGGGTTTCCATAAAAGCTACCGAACCTCATCCAAAATCAAGTTTAAACTCATAACGTTTCAACATCGGGACCTTGGGCTTAACTGTCACAACTCGTACATCAGATGTTTCATTGATTGCTCAGATCAACTACTTAGAACTATGTCAAAGATCAGGCAAGTAATAAATGTATCTGATTGAATAAAAATGGCCTTGTTCGTGGATAGGTGTCCTCTCTGCAACTTATATAAAAGATTTTGATCTAATATTTTCAATTATTCATTTATTAGTAAAACAATTATTTATTGGCTAACGAAACGCATTTATTGAAAAATGTATTGCGATTAAAATTAAAGTTGTGCTAAATATTATTTGTAATCGTAGACTACTTTAATGTCACCATTCCCATTGTATTAGTGATACTGATCAGAGTTTCTTCCATCAGAGTTTTTTACCACCCCCCGAACGAAATGAAATTTATATAATTTATATAGAAAATATATACTTTTAACAGTATCCGCCCCCCCCCCCCCCCCCCGAAGAAAGTCTACCGCACCCGCGAAAATTTCAAGTGGCCCCCCCCCCCCCGGAGAAAAAAGTCTGGAAGAAACACTGATACTGATTCATACGTTAATACCAAAGTACACCAAGAGTGTTGTCGTTTAACTCAAAGTTTATGTTTAGATGATCAAAACACGACCTTTTGAAAGAGATTAAGTTCTGGTTTTACACGACAAGAAAAACAATAGTAACAATTTAAAAAAATAATATAAACATTTATTATCATTTTGTTTTCGAAAACTTCAAGATCTCATTTAAACCATAATTATTTTTTTAAAATTAAGAAATAGGTCTACTTGTTTAGCCATGTTTGTTCGATAAAGTTATTCCTTACCTTAATTATTATTTTATTTTTAATTTAGTCATAAATAAAGAACCTATTCTTTTCCGAATGTTATCCTAGGATCACTACACGATAGATTATTTAAAATGTGGAAGAAGTGAAAAAAAGCAAAATAACGACTTCATTAATTAAAAAATATAGTTTATTAAGTTATAAATACAATCAGATGCAAAGAAATTATGACTACTTCAAAATGGCAATTACATATTAAATAGTTAGCGTGAGAAAATAAACACACACAAGTTAATGAGCCATGTGTGTAACTATGTGTGTCACTGTAGAAATCGTTGGTATTAGGTTTATTTAACTTCTTTCATCATCATTTTTACTTTTCACTTCTGGCAGAGCATGAAGTGTCTCTGTCGAAAGTTTCCACTCTCCACAGTCTTAAGCCCCTTTTTACAACTCTTCCAAATATGCCCCTATCCTCTCAGCCGCCTCCAGAAAGCCACGTCGTCAAGTCTACCTAGGTCTATACCTGAGTCTCTTGTCTGGGTTCCACTTCAGAAATTGTCCGGATCTATTCACAGCGTCCTTACTATGTGTGTGCCCAATCCATCGAAATTTTGTCAATGGTGTGTTTTTTTACTTTCTCGTATATACGAAGTATAGAGAAAGTCTTATAATCGTGCAAAAATATAGATTTTTGCAAATCTCGACGTTATGCACCTCCCTGAGTCGGTAAAAACATGTTTTTGCAATCTTTTCCGTATGTATGTATGTGTGTGTGTGTGTGTGTGTGTGTGTGTGTAAACACGATAACTTGAGTACCGTTACAGCTAGGTTGATGAAATTTTATATATAAGTATTATTTCAAAATCGTTGATGTGCAATTCTTTTTACTACGAGTTTCTATTCTATTTATAAAAAGTTTAATTAATTGAAAATGAATTTAAAGTCATGTCTATATCCCAATTTGCCATCCCCTGTTGATTTATGTAAGAATATTCGAGAAAGTTTAGGTGAGATCACTACCGGTTTATTTTTTAGCGCAATTTCCGTACTGGCAATTGCGATTATTAACTCGTCATTTCTGGATGGATGGATGTGCGCAGCTTTAAGTCGTATCTCCTCCTCAACGAAGCAATAACGTGGACTAGTTCCAAAAGCAAATATGTTAAGCAAGTTTCGAGGATGATTGTGGGCAAAAACAATTCCCGGAATTCCTTCCTGCATTTCCCGGAAAAGCCAAAAAACCTCGAAAAAAGGCAGTTTTTGGCCCATATCTCGGCAACCAGACCACTTAGCGACTTGAAACATTTACCAATCGATTTCTGCCATAATTTAGAACAATATTGCCGGAGAAAGCTTTTAAAAATATCCTTTCGTTCGGTCACAACATTTTTTTTTTAAATTACATAAACACTTACAAACCGATCGTTCTCCTAGCTTGAACGCACCCCAGCATTATACGTCTTGTGTTTTGTCCCCGTGTGTGCGCTTCGACAGATCTACGGGTTATGAAAGGGATGTGTCAAAATAATCTATTTTTCGCTGTCTTTTAGATCTTGCTATAAGTTTATTTTTTACTTATTAATTCAAACGTTAATTTTGTACCCTATTAATTTATTTATAATTTATATGAGAGTGATAGGGAGTTACAATTACAAGGTTTTGTTTCGCTAGGCCTAATCATTTTTTCACATTTTTTAAAAACAAACTTGATCACTATCTATTTTTAGATAACATAAGGAAATTGCGCTTAAATTGTAACTAGACTTTTTATTAACTTTTTAAAATTGTTTCCTGTCCACCATTCTCTCATGTTTTTTGTTAAATATTGTCTAGCTTTTCTTGCCTTAAAAATACTCTTTATACACCTATTTATAAAAGTATAAAAGTTTGAAATCTTTGTTGTTGATTCTGGTGTTCGCTATGTTCCTCAGCCGTAGAGTAGAACTGCTTTAATATTCAACTTCCTCACTTCTCCCTTTGTACTCAACATGTGCTGAGATTTTCTTTTGTTTCTTTAACAAAATATCTTTGCGCCTCGTCGAGTAGGTGGTGAGGGATTACTTATAGCTCAGTTGACAGATATTGTCTTTCTACACAGAACAGCCCCAATTATTTCACCTCCACATGCATTACCTTCGACATATTCCACTTCCCCTCATACTCCAACATACTCCACTTCTCCACATATTTGAACACCCAAACACATCATATTCTACATAACTCTACCTCCATCCCCTATATACTCCGCCCACCGCTCAAAATCCACATATTCAACCTATATATATATATACATACATATATATATATATATATATATATATATATATATATATATATATATATATATATATATATATATATATATATATATAATCTAGCCACTACGTTCTGAAAAGCCACCCAGAAAATTAATTTTATGGTTATTTTATGTTATTTTTTAAAAGTGTGTGACGAAAAATGTGATTAAACGTTGTAAAGTTTGTTTCAAATTCTTATGCCACGGTTATCTTTTTAGATTACTATACGAGAATACGAATCAGAAAAATAAACAAAAAGCTAATGACCTATTTGTATATACATTTTCTTTTTGTAGGTTAAAACACGCAAAACTTGCTATTAAAGATCAACAGTGTGTTTAATTTAATTTCATGTTGCATATTGTGAAAGAATAAGAAATAATGTGTACGTTTCTATATATTGCTATAAGTGACCATATAGCGTTCTTTAGCGTCCACCACCGTGTACGTGTTCGAGGTCAACAAAGAGAATCTCCCAGTATCTGCGTGGATTGGATGAAAAGATATAATTTTTTAAGCATAATTGGGATTGGATACATAGTAATTACGTATTTAAATATTTAAAATGAATTTGGTTAAAAGTATAAACAATAATATACAGCTCTTAAGGGACTGGATAAACAATGTAAACAAGTAAAGTTTTCGTTGTATAAAGTAGTTATTTCGTCAGTAATTTATACGATTATCATTTTAATAATTAATTTCAATGTTTTAAAAATATGTTATTTTTTTTTTTGTAAAATGAAGTTAAAAACTCACTTGATAAATTCATCATCGCTTACTAGGCCGTTGTTGTTGGTGTCCATTAAACCATAAAAGTTGTCGAAGTCGTGCTCATCCAGATGGTGGTCACCGTCCACGTCGTAGATGTCGTAGAGGGCGTGGGACAGGGGGTGG